TTCCTGTTGTTGAGCCTCGATCTTCACTGAGGGCCAGTCATCAACTGTTTAAGTGTTCAATTATCAATAAGCTGAAGTCTGTAGAGGGCCATAATTGCCCTGCTTTAAGTGGTTCGCTGCTCACCACGCTGTCTCTACCTCAGCCGCCATCTTGGATCTCCCACATATCCCTTTTAAACAGTTCTCTCCCTCATCTGCTTCAATGCAGTGTGCGTAATTTATCCCATCTTTCTCAGTCTCCCCCCAGCCCCCATGTCAATCCTGTTTTACAACAGTGGCGCTGGCACTATGCAGTATTTGTCCTTTTGTGACTGAGATATTTCACTCAGCATGATGTCCTCCAAGGTCACCCATTTTGTATAATATTTCATGAGTTCCTTGTTTTCAAAGCAGTGTAGTATTCCATTGTGTGAATATACCACAGCTTCTCTACATATTCATTTGTCGATGGGTATTAATAAAGTTTTATTGAGTAATGAAGAATAGTAGGGGAAAGCAGCTAGTGGATTTGAACCACCAACCTTTTGGTTACCAGCCCGACATGTTATGCTTCTCCCCTCCTCTATTTGTCCTTTTTATTTTGTTTATCCCCCATCTAGACAAAGAAAGAGAGCTAGACAGAAGATTTCAAACAAATCTGTCTTGAAGGAAGTGCAGCCAGGGTCCCCATTCGAGGCAAGGGTGGTGAGACTTTGCCTAACTTACTTTAAGCATGTGATCAGGAGGCACCAGGCCTTGGAAAAAGGCAGCATGCTTGGAAAGTAAAGGGTCAACATGAGAGGAAGAACCTCAACAAGATGGTTGGACCCAGTGACAGCAGCAGTAGCTTTGAGCGTGGCAGAGATTGTGAGGGGTCTCAGGACAGGGCGAGGTTCAGGTTTGCTGTTTGTACAGTCCTTAACATTTAGGGTCTAACAGCTGTCCTGCATGCTTTTTATTTCCCTCTTCTCTAGCTGTGTTTTTTAATAGTCACATCATGCTTTCCTTTGTTAATGTGGTAACTGGACCCTCCTGGAAAGTCTGTGAGCTTCAGAGGAAGGGAGTGAACCTGTACTTCCTCTGTTTGATGTTTGTCCTGAGCCCCACAGAGGGTGGATGCTGGTGCCCTATCTGTAGTTGTTCAGTAGCGTTTCTATTGAAATGTCTTTTATTTTGCAAACTGCAGGAGGGCATCTGATATGTACCCCAATTAGTCTCCCCTTTAAGACTTCAAGCCACTGGTTTACTTAAAATAAGAATGTTCAGGATCTAGAATTAACATGAAAATTTGACACACACACACACACACACACACACACACACACACACACACACACTCATGTCTTTTTGTTAATGTTAGAAAAATAATATACGGAAAAAATGAGAAATCAGTGGCCCAGCCACAAACTTCCAGAGGCCAGGAGAGATGGAAGGCCTGCTCTGTTGTGCCTTTGAAACTTTGTTGTTGTTCATTGCCATCAAGTCAAAACTAACTCATAGCTGACCCTGCATTAGGTTTTTAGAGGCTACAGTCCAGGAGATTGCTTATTTTTCTCTCTTGGATCTGCTGGATTCATGTCACTTGCCTTTTTGTTTTTGACCTGCTGGTGGAGTCGAATCACTTAGCTTTAGGTTAGCTGCACAACTCTTTACCCACCAGGCCACCAGAGCTCCCTCTTTTAAGACCTCAGATTTCCCAGGAACCTCTTTCATGATAAATTTAAGATTTACTGATATTGTTTCATGATAAGCAGTAAGATTATAAAAATTACCTGAGTCTGAAGCTTATTTGAGGTTGTAATTTTAATTGCTATGCACTGAGATTGGACTGCATTCTTAACTAAAGACAGGAATAAAACGAAAATCCATTTCTAGATGTGCCAAGAATCAGCATTCTTCTAAACAATAATATGGCAGCCAAGCCACTCCATACAACACTTTTCTCCAATCTTAATAGCTCTGAAAAATCAAAGCCCAAGATAATACATTGAACCAAATAGTCAAAGCAAGATATTTTCCTTTAAATTATTAAATTCCCCCTGAGCTTTGAAACCACAAACATCGCTATTCAATTTATGACTCTGTTCACATACTTCTCCTGTGCCCTGAAGAATAAAGTCCCTTCTGAGTTTTACTTCCAGTCAATTAGTTAGATGCCTCTGTGAGCTATGGAGGATGGTGTGTTATGTTGTGCTGCTAACAGAAAGGTTGATGGTCCAAATCCAGGAGCAGCTCAAGGAGAAAGATGTGTGTTCCCTCTGCAAAGGTTCCCCATTTCCAAGACCCCACGAAGGATCACGATGAGTCAGAATTTACCGTGATGACACAGGGTTTGGTTTCGGTTTATGTCTCTGATGTTTTTGTTGTTATTTTGTTGTTAGGCTATGTTGTTTGTTCGTTTTGTGTCATCAAGTCGAACCAAGGGTACTGGAAAAAGGCTGAAGTTACAGCAAGAGAGGATGCCTAGGGTGGACAGTTGGTTGTAAGGAGGGGTTAGTTCAGCTGTTTCAAATTGAAGCAAAGTTACGAATATAAAGAGCAAACAGGAGTTGTCCTTACGCGTGATGTAACCCATGGGCTACCTGTACTTCTGGAAAATCACTGCTGAAAACCCTGTGGAACTCAGATGTCTTTTGACGCATGAGGTCACCAGAGTGGCCATCAATTCAGTGGCGACAGTTCAATACTTTGATGACTCAGTTACCTGGAGATAATGGAGAACAAGATTCTCCTTGGGGAAACTGGCCTTTCCACTTGAAAAGGGGAAAAAAACAAAACCCACAACCAGTTCTTTCACAATCTGAAAAATCTTTTGAAGCAGATAATGAAATCAGCAAATCCAGAGATTCTTGGAGGGATCTCAGTCTGCTGGAACCTTGGCTTTTCCTATTAAGGAGTTTCATCTGAAAAGTCATCAAAGCTGCTATCAGCTGGGCTAAACTGAGTCACTAGAGATTAGTACTTGGTGAGGGCGGTGGGGTGGGGGGGAGTGACATTATCAACCTTGTGGAAAAGTGGAGGGAGAAGCTCCTGCAATTGAGCTGTAAAGGTTAAGAAGAGGAAATGATAGGTTATTGGAAGTGAGGCATTTTACTCTTTTAGAAATTTCTTACCTTATTTAAACTTCTTTTTTACTTCCCCTCCTCACCATTTCCCTCTTCCTAGCAGTATATCAGTTAAACTCTACAAAAGTGAGTTTTAAGACAATGGAGGAAATTGTAGCCATGCATTGTAATTTTATTTTCCCAGAATGCCTTTATATTTAGCCTTAATTCTGCTTCCTAGTAGAACATGTTACAGAATAGTGGTTCACGTGGATATAACCACCCTCCACGCCTTTCTAGGTTATCTGTGAGAAGGAGCAGGGAGTTGGACACAGGGCTGCACAATTTAGAGCTGTCACATTTTAGGATAAGCACTTTCCATTCATCTGATACAGAAAGTTCAGACCAGTTTGATTTGAGCTGACTGTGGCTAATCATGATGCTATTGTGATGAAGCTCAATGAAGGTCAGAATTCCTGCTGGTTCCAAGGTGACAAAAAGGCATCCTTTCTCACTCTAGCAAACGATTGGAAAAGAGGTAAGAACGTGGACAAAAACTACACATTGCCAGTTTCTTGCCCTGTTTCCATCTATGCAGGAGAAAAAAGTTGCTTATGAGGACCCCGCACCCCTATTTTCTGACCTACCCCCACTAGCTGCATAAATAACTAGATGATTCTTAACTTGCAAGTGAAAAAGAATTGTTTCATTTTCTTTGGGGCAGTACATTAAAGTGTTTCACAGCCTTGCTCAAAGATGAAAAGCAAAGGTGCATGGAAAGAATTTGTTTGGAAAGCTAACAGAGAGTCTTCATCCCAAAGCCAGCAGAGCTGGATGGTGCTTGGCTGCCGCAGCCAGAGCCCCAAAAGAAGCCAGAAGATCGGAGACAGATGCGCAGTGTGGAACAGAAATCTGAAATCTAAACATTCCTAGGCAAACTGTCCCAGAAGGCGCTGTTGGAACCCCAAGACTATCGCCTTCGGATGTCCTTTACGCCTGAAAAAAAAACTCTCCCCAACTTTCAGGCAAACTGTAGGCAGACCTTCAAAGTGAAGTGTCACTCCAGGGAGGTCCTCACTCCCTGGAACAAGATCCGAAGTGCAGCCTGTGCCCGAGGATCCAGCTCGGATGGCAGGAAAGGGCAGGAGGGAAGGATTCATGGCAATGAGAGGTACAAGGAGGAGGGTCGCTGTACAGTGTGGGGATTGGTGTTCAGGCCATAAAACAATGAGTGTGAATGTTCGAAAAGCCAGAATGCTTGGGAAGCTTTTCCCTCAAATTTTATATATTAACAATAAAGAAAGAAATAAAATAGTGTTTCAAAATACTTAATGAGTAAAATGGGGGGGGGAATTAATCCATTTGGGTTTCTTATTTTATTAGGCAAGTTTAATTCCATAACTTCAAGTTTCACAGGCCTGAAATATGCTGTGTACTGACCATCTCTCAAGGTGCATAGTGAGATTGGTAGTCTTAGTTTTTTAAAAAAATCATCTTTGAGTCAGTTCTGACACATGACAGCCTTGTGTCAGAGTGGATTGTGCTCCGTAGAGTTTTCAGAGGCTGCTTTTTTTGAAAGTGGGTCACCAGGTGATGAACTGTCTTTCACATTCTGGGTAATTATTCCTGCGATGCCTCTGAGTCATCTGAAATCTTCACCCTTTCTATTGTTCTTGGTTGTTATGTGCCGTCGAGTCACTTGCGACTCATAGCAACCCTATGTACAACAGCCCTAAACTCTGCTCTGTCCTGTGCCAATCGCACTGTCTCTGACACTCCCATCCCGATTATCCCAGTCACTGAATCAATCTACCTCACAGAGGGCCTTCCTCTCCTGCGCCGTCCCTCCACCCTCCCAAGTATGATGTCCCTCTCTAAGGACCGGTCTCTCCTCACAACATGTCCAAAGTATGTTAGACAGAGCCTCAGAATCCTTGCCTCCAAGGAACCAACCAGTTTAACCCTTTCCGGGACAAATCTGTTTGTTTCCCTAGCAGTCCATGGTATTCTCAATACTCTTCTCCAGCACCACAGCTCAAAGGCATCAATTCTCCTTCTATCCTCCTTGGTCATTGTCCAACTCTCTGATGCATAACAAGTGATTGCAAAGACCATGGCCTGTATCAGACGCACCTTAGTATCCAGAGAGACACCATTGCTCTTCAGTACTTTGGAGAGGTCCCTAACAGCAGACTTTCCCATGGCAATGCACCTTTTAATTTCCTGGCTGCCCTTTCTTTTAGTTGTTGTTATATACCATCAGTGGCTCTGAACCCTCCCCTATCTTGAGCCAACCTCAGCATCTCTGACACACCTGCCTCCATTGCCTCTGCCCCATTGTCACTGAGTCAATCCATCTCATCCGGCATCTTCCTCTCCTATGTGACTCATAGTGACCCTATACACAATAGCTCTGAGCCCTGCCCTTTCCTGAACCACTCTCACTGCCTCCAACACAACTACCTCCATTACCCCAATCTCATCTGGGGTCTTCCTCTCCTGCACTGTTCTCCATCCTTCCAAGCTTTCTCCAAGGACTAGTCCTTCCTGGCTGCATTCCCAAAATATGGAAGATGGAGCTTCAAAATCCTTGCTTCCAGGGAGCAGCCTGGTTTCACCCTCTCTAGGAAAGACCTGTTTGTTCTCTTGGGAGCCCATGGTTATGTTCAGTACTTTTCTCCAGCACCACAGCTCAATTAGTAGACAAGTACATTAACTGTTGGTGCCGACCCTCTCCTTCAAAGGAAACAAGAGTACAACAGAAGCCTTTTTACTGATTCTTTTTTAATTGAGAAGTAAAAAGAAGAGAAAAGGTTTAACAATGGATATCCGTTAGTAGGGGCTCTAGACTTGAAACTGCTATAGGAACAAGAGAACCAATAGGTGGGATCTAAGAGGCTCTATGTGTGTGTGTGTGTGTATGTGTGTGTGTGTGTGTGTGTGAGAGAGAGAGAGAGATTGATTTTGGTTTGGTTTTGTTGTTTTGTTTTGTTTTCATTTTAGCTGTTTTTCTTTTTCATTTAGGTCCTGACCAGATACCTCTCAGGGAAGAATTTGAACAAATTATGCTGAAAGCTATGCAGGAATTTACCCTGAGGGAGCGAACCCTGCAGATGGGCACCCAGTGTATGCCTGTGTCCCCGGGACAGCTCCCCTGGCTGGCACGATTAGTCGCCAGCGTGTCTCAAGACTTGGTCCATGTGATTGTGACCCAGAACTCCTTGGCGGAGGGCATTTCAGAAACACTGAGGACACTCAGTGAAGCGAGACACTACCAAAGGCTGCCAGACTACGTTGTGGCAATTTGTGCATCAAAAATCAGAGGGACTGAGTTCTGTGTGGTAGTATTAGGTGAGTCGCTTTCTCAAAACCCATTCATTCAGTCATCTGTCCATGTGTTAAAGCTTCCTCAGATACTTTTTTCAGACTTCTCTGTGACCTCTATTTAATGACATGTATGTGGGTTCCTCCTAATTTTGACCTCTCTTTTCTCCTTGAGATCAAGTGTTTACAGCCCCTTGTTCATCTGCTGTGTCCCTGTCAGCTGGTTGAGGATACTTTAATTCCTCAGCTCTGTCTGTTACACTGTAGCAACAGAGACCCTTGTCCTGTAACTTCTGTCCTTTTAAGTCTTTAGAAATACTGCCCTCCAGCATGTGAGAAAACCAGCTCTAGGTGGCCTCCGCCCAGCTAATCACACTGGCCATAAACTTAGCTCACATGGTCAACTCTTCATTGAGGAAAATGGTTTTTTAATGGTGTAACACTAACTCCAAAGCAATGGTGCAGAAAGTCAATACATGACACAATAAGTGTGTTTGATCTGTGCTGATTTTCTTTCCGGTAGATACAAACGCCATTCTGGTGAACTGCATGGACTGAATCACGCTTCTTTCTTGTCTGTAGTCAATGGCACTGACCTTTTGGTGGCTAAGCCCTAACTTTGAGGAAGCCAGCCAGCTATCTCTCTCTGCTACATATGTCTTCCTGCAAGTTTTATCAGAAAGTGTGACATGCTAATTATTCCTTGACTTTAATATATGGAAAATACTTAACAACATAGATTTACATATTAAGAACAGTAAGGGAGCTCTGGTGGCCTAGTGACAAGAAGCTGTGCTGCAATCCCAAAGGCATGCAGTTCAAATCCACCAGATGCTTGATGGGAGAAGGATGAGCACCTTCCTCACATGTGATTAACCGCCTCTGAAAACCCGCTGGGAGGTCAGCTAAGGGTCATTTCTGACTTACTGGTACAAAACAACAAACAAATCTGTTGTAACCTTACAGATACATTTTTTGTTTGTTTCTTTCCAACTCCTTCCTAGTCTGGCCTCATGCTTGTCTGTATTTTCACAGTGACAAGCAAAACATATCATATTTCCTTTGGCCACCTAACAGTATATTAGGAACATTTTCTTTGTCCAAATATGATGTTAAAAATGTCATTTCAGATGCTAATAATTGACCATCTTTTGGATGTACTGTCATTTTCTTTACCAGTTAACTATAATTAAATGCTTTTGTTGCTTCCAGGTTTTGCTGTTATAAACCATGTTCTACATTTTTAAAAATAACACTTAAAAAATATCAGTTGTGTGCTTCTCGTCTCTCGCCCTCCCCCCACCCCCCCCGGCTCTTCCAGGTCAGCACCAGTCCAGAGCTCTGGCAGAGGGCATGCTCACCACAAGTGAGTTCTTGAAGGAAATTAGCTATGAGCTCATCACAGGAAAGGTCAGTTTCCTGGCATCGCATTTCAAAAACACGTCATTAGGTGAGTGGTTGTGAGATTCTCTGAATTTAAAATTAGCCCATCAGGAGATAAGTGTGGCGGTTTAGTGTGCCAGCTGATTTCCTTCCATCTGGAACGGTTTATCCTAAGTATTTTGTTACTGACACCACAGAAGGCAGCAGCGTGGTCTCCAGGAAGATGCTAAGGTCAGCAGCCTCCACTCAGTCACTAATGGGTTGTGTGACCGCGGGCAAGGTTTTCTCTTCTCGGCCTCAGGATATCCATCGGAGGCACCATTATCGTGTCCTGCCTGCTAACATATTGTCAGATTCCAGAGGGAGAATGCCCGAGGAAGTGTATAAACTGTAAGCACGAGACGAACAAGCGTCTTTCAAGCTGTGAAAAAACAGTGCAGAAATGGCTAAGATTCAAGCTGGCTCACCCCACACCCCAATAAGAACTCAACTACATTGCCCAACTTTGAGGCTGATACAAATGATACCCTGATACTATTCTTCATAATCTTCTTGTGTCTGTTCTGTAATAGGTGATGACATGGACAAGCTGCTAGAAAAAATACAGCAAAGAAGGGGGGACAGCGTGGTTACTCCTTTCAATGGAGACCTGAATGAATGCATGTCCCCCCAGGAGGCTGCTGCTTTGGTTCCCACCCCAGATCCAGGTAATGGCACCTCAAACTCAATAGGTGGAAGCCAGTCTGGTGTTGAGGACTCATTTCCATGTTACAGACCATAACAGGCCTTTTCTTCCTTATCTCTGAGCTCCATCTGGCTCACTAAGAAATACTTTGTCACGTAGCCTAGATCAAAGGCTTTATTCTTAGTAAATGTTGCATAGAATTAAAAAGAGTCAAAGATTTTATCTTAAGCAATCTCTCTCTCTATTTCCTTGAAAGATCCTGGTGTCCTCAGTGGACCAGATGCTTTGTCTGCAGTTGCTAGTGATGGTGAGGGCCTCAAGCCCTGCATGGCAGCATTTACACAGAAAGCTGTGCGAGGCTTTTAGCTTCTCTCTCCACTTAGACTGTGGCTTGTAAACCAGACCCATTTCAGGCCTAGTTGAGCCTTCCTGCCACAGTGAGCCATGAACCAGCAGAGTGGAGTTGGGGAAGAGGACACGGATCTCTGGGGAATTAGGAGGCAGGCAGGGGACAGTGTGACGGAAGTGGGGAGTCTGCTTGGCAGACAGGATTAGTTTGGGTTCAGATTTCTTCCTCAAGCTGCTGATTGAAACAGACAACATAGGAGAAGGTTAAAAAGAGCAGGAGAAAGGGTTGAGAGGAAACAAATTCCTCTAAACTACAACTGACATCCACCTGTTGGAAGTATCATTTCTATATAAGGACTGCCTCCGGGCAATAGGGAGACATTTTGGCATCAGCCTAATTGAAAAAATGCAAGTAAAAATATAGAGGTAGAGATATATACAATAGCACACACCACCACCAAAACATATGTGTATATATACACACACATGCATCTAAAGGAGCTCTGGTGGCCATATACATATATACACATGTATATGTATACAGTGTGTGTGTGTGTGTGTGTGTGTGTGTAGGTACACACACATATATAAATGTTGTTGTTGAGTACCATCGAGCCAGAACTAACCCATAGCTGACCTTCCTGTGGGTTTTCAGAGGCAGTTAATTGCACAGGAGGAGATTACTCATTCTTTTCCTATGGAACAGCAAGTGGCCTAGAACCTTGTGCCTTCAGGATTACAGCACAGCTTCTTGCCGCTAGGCCACCAGAGCTCATGTGTGTGTACGCACATTCTTATATGTGGTGGTGGTGGTGTGTGCCACTGAGTTGGAACTGACTCAAAGCTAACCCTCCAGTGGGTTTTCAGAGGCAGTAAATCAAACAAGAGGAGATATCTCATTCTTCTCTTGCAGTGTACCTGGTGAATTCCTGTGTCTTTGGGATTGCAGCAGTTTCTTCACCAGTAGGCCACCAGCGCTACAGAGAGCCAAATGATCTAAAATGTGTTTAGTACTTTTAATAATTATGAAAATTAACATTTAAAAGTTCTGAGTACTTAATTTTTTTTAATTTTTAAATTTTATTATTTTGTGTATGTACCATCAAATTGGATCTGACTGGTACAGGAGGAGATTGCCCCTCCTTCTCCCACAGAGCATCTGGTGGATTTGAACCACATACTTCTGGGATTGCAGTACAGCTTCTTGCCACTAGGCCACCAGACTTCCAAGTACTTTTTTTTTTTTTAGATTTTGATAATGAAACCTTCCAAATTTATCAACCACATCTCAGTTACCAGAAATTTAATTCCAATTTAAGAAACACTGCACAATGGCATTTTTTTTATTTCCCAAACCTTTTTTAAACTTCTTAGGTAAATTCTTCTCTCCATGATTCTCCTCATTTGTGTTCATTTGCACTCGATGAAATAAAGGAAATTGCGCCCAAACTCTTAGAAGACAGACTTATTCTGATTGGTAGTCATTGTGGATTAAGAACCAGTCTGAGAGGAACTGCTGTTGAAAGTTGCAGATTTAACTCATTCCAGTGGTTCTGTCTGTTGGAAGGGAGACCACCCGAAGCCCAGGGTGTTGTGATGGACATCCTTGATTTTGGCTGCACTACATTTAATTTTAGAAGACACTAATTAGAACAGGTTTGTTTGGCCCTGTGTTTTGACTTTAAAATGCCTCATGTGAAGAAAAAATAAATGCCTCATGTGTTCCTAGTGAAAAGAAACCCTTTAAACAAGTAATTGGGTGTTGCCTGCTCCTGTTTAGCCAATTAAGTTGGTCTCTTTCATCATGGATATATGTATGTGTGTTAATGCATACTCAGATTTAAGAGGAAGATTGGTTATAATTTGTCATTAAAAGCTACTGCATACATAGTTCGTGTATCTGGCCAGTGTTTTCCTGTCACTTACAGCATGGCCAAATCTATTGTCAGGTCTCAAATCTACTCTAAGAGAGCAGCCATCTCCACTGGAGTTGTCAGCACCTAGACCAGCCAGGTCACACGTGCTGGCAGAGTTGGGGAGATAGGAAGAATGGTGAGGTCATCGTCTCTGTGACTTAGGCAGCCAGTCGCAGCGAGGCGGATTTCAGGCTCTGTTACAGCGCCCTTACTGCTGAGGAAATATTGACAGAGATGCCATCCGTAAAAGTTCCCAACTCGGCCCTTGATCTCGGCCGGAACCTGTTTGTTCCCCTTTACAGAAATGACCTGTGGTTCCAGCTACCAGAATGGAGTGTCTCGCCCCATTCCTGGGGAAGGAAGATGGGAAATAAATGAGGGATTTGTGAGAAAACAGTGTTTTAAATATATCCACTGCGTACCTGAGCAACATCCATTCAGCCATGTTTCAGGGAATCGTGTTGTTGTTTTTATAGTCAGAACCAACCCATAGCTAACCCTCCAGTGGGTTTTCAGAGGCAGTTAATCACATGGGAGGAGACTGCCCATCCCTCTCCCATGGAGCAGCTAGTGGCTTCAAACCAAGTGCCTTCGGGATTGCAGCACAGCTTCTTATCACTAGGCCATTAGCAAACCTATTAAAACTCAATAGTGAGGAAAAAAAACAAAAACAAACAAACAAAAAAACTCAATGGTGATTGAAAATAGAAAATGGCAAGTCTAAGTAAAAAAGGTCTTTATTTTATTTACTGTGTGTGGGCTGTGTGCCCCACATGGATTATAGCAACCATCATCAATGGTTTTTATTAAAAATGTCATCTTGGTTTTATTTTTTTGTTTTAGATTTTGATAATGAAACCTTCCAGATTCATCAGCCACAGCTCACAGTTGCCAGAAAACTATTATCACAGGTGTGTGCGATCGCGGACAGTGGCACCCAGAGCCTGGACCTTGGCCACTTCAGCAAAGTGGACTTCCTCATCATTGTCCCAAAGTCAGAGGTTCTGGTCCAACAAACTCTTCAACGGATTCGACAATCAGGTAAGGTTGGTCCCATGTAGAACGAGCATTAATACCATCTGTCACTTTTGCTTATTAACTCAAATATTTATTAATTCCTTCTGTTATCTTTTTACAGTGATAAAAATTATAAAAACAATTTAAATGTAAATTCACATTTATTTTATTAAGTTTTCTTTCAAAGTGCTTAGACCTTTTTGCCTCCAATGTCTAGGATAAATTGAGGTGTGTGCTTGTCAGATACAGTTATGCCTTTGATGTAATAATAACTCAGTTATTCAGTGGACTGGAATCTAGTCACTTAGTTATGAAAAGAAATAGTCTGCAGGCGGGGATAGCTCTTCATGAGAGGTGGGACAGGAGCACCTCAAATTACTCAAGTGGGTCACATCTCAGCAGGGATTTGTTGACATTTAGATTATTACCAGCACAATTTCAACCAGTTCCCCATCCCAACTGTAAAAAGAAAGAAAAAAGATAAACTCACTTACAAAACAGCATTGGTGTTCCTTCTAACGACTTCAAGAAGATAAATACAGAGAACTTTTTACCCCCAGAAAATATAAAAAGGCAATGCATACAAATGTCAGTCATCTATGGTAAATAATATTTCTTTGAAATAGAAAATCATGTTGCAAGAAATAAAAAGGAATTCAGAAAATTAGGATAGCTGAAAATTAGGATAGCTGAAAATGCTTGCCTTTCAGCTTTTTGTAAACTTTGCCATTAAGTTAGAACCGACCCGTAGCTGACCCTTTAGCAGGTTTTCAGAGATAGTTACTCACTCAGGAGATTGTCCATCCCACTCACTCAGAGCAGCTGGTGGATTCAAACCACGTGCCTTTGGGATTGCAGTGCAGCTTCTTACCACTAGGTCACCATAACACCCTTTATAAACTACATTCTAAAAAGGAAGTTCAAATGTCAAGTTGTTTCTAGATATGAAAAGAAAGCAAACCAATTGCTATCAAGTTCTGCTGACCCAGTTACAAAATGGGCAAAAAGTAGGGAGAGAATTTTCACAGAGGAAGGCATTCAGATGGCCAACAGACACATGAAGGACTTCTTAAAATCAGTGGCAATAAGAGAGGTGCAAATCAAAACCACAGTGAAATACCATCTCACCCCAGTAGAAATGGCAAAGTTTAACAGGACAGCAAGCAATAAAAGTTGGAAAGGATGCAGAGATAGGAACTCTCCTACACTGTTTGGGTGGAATTCTAAAAGGGTACAACCACCCTGGAAGGCAGTTTGATGTTCCCTCAAAAAGTTAAACATAGATACTCCATGTGACCCAGCTATTCCACTGCTAGGATTATACCCAGAGGAAAACAGAACTAAAAACAAACAGAGATTTGTAGACAGATGTTCATAGCCACGTTATTCACAATAACAAGAACATGTAAACAGCCCAAATGTCCAACCACAGTCAAACAGATTGAGAAATTGTGGTACAGTCACACAGTAGCATATGGCACAGCACACAGGAGCAATGATTTAAAAAATTATTACATAACTTGGGAGAGACTGAAGAGCATCATTCTGAGTGAACTAACTCAGTCTCATTAGGACAAATACTGTGTAAAACCATTATTGTAGAAAAAGATAACTAGTAAAATGTGTACAAGGATCTAAGGAGGGGCAGGCAGGGAGCAGAGGGGTGGTGAGGTTTGGTATAGGGAAAATCATAGGGTCACACAATTTGTTGGGTGTAAGAAGGCGGCGGAGGGGGGAAGGGTAAAGGAAATGGTGAGGACCCAGCCCAGATCTGGAAAGACAGGGTAATGGTGGGGATATTGAGTGGTGATGAATTCTATAAACTGTAACGAATGGGAATGATTTCATGTGTAACAATGTAAATGAAGATTGGTATGAAACCCAATGTATATGAACTTTGTAAGCAAACCAATATAAAATAAAATGTTTTTTTAAAGCTGGGCCAAAATCCCAAAGGCACATGGTTTGAATCCACTAGCTGCCCTGGTGGGAGCAGGTTGGGCAGTTTATTTCTGTGTAATTTGCTGCCTTTGAGAACTCACTGGAAGGTCAGCTATGGGTTGGTTCTGACTCAGCGACACACAGCTAGCAACAAAATTGTGTCACTGTTGTTGTTGGCCATCAAGTCAGAACCAGTGAGTTTTCAGAGACAGTTAATCACACTGGTGGATTCAAACTACGTGCCTTTGGGATTGCAGCATAGCTTCTTACCACTCAGCCACCAGAGCTCCCCGTAGGTCAGAGAAAACTACCCCCTAGGGTTTCCACAGCTGCTTCTGGCCTGTGAACCTTTAGGGAGGTGGGTCACTGCATCTTTCTCCCTTGGAGTGTGTGGTGGGTTCAGACCCACTACAGTGAAGCACTTGTTACCTACCACACTGCAAGGTCTTCAGAGGGAGGGAAAGAAAGCCTGACCCCAGGCAGGTATAGCAGAAAAGTACTTAGCATGTGGTTGCTATATCATATGCCCAGTCCTCCTGGACCTATGTAGCATATACACAGATCACCTTAAGATCTTACATTAAAAGCAGATTCCTCTCCAGTTGGCGCACCATCAGCCTTTCAAACGAGCTTGCAGGTGATGCCAACTGCTGATCAGATGACCACACTTTGAGGAGGAAGGCTCTTTAAGGGATTTGTCATTGTCCCATGAGACAAATGAGCTGATTCATGATGGTTTGATGCAGTGGTTGAAGCACTCAGCTTCTAAGCTTAACCAAGAGATTGGTGATTTTAAACCATCCCCTTCTCTTTCGAAGAAATAACAAGTTTGCTCTCATAGATTTATGACCTTGGTAGACCTAGGGGAAAACTTTACTGTGTCCTAAAGACTGTTGTGTTGTGTACCGTCACGTGGGAACCGACCCATAGCTGACCCTCTGGAGGGTTTTCAGAGGTCGTTAACCAATCACACAGGAGGAAATTGCACATCCTTCTCCCATGGAACATTTGGTGGAGCCACTGGATGCTGAACAGTGGTGGGTTTGGTTGAGTTGTAACCTCTCTTGATGCCTGCATAAGTCTTACTCCAGGACCCTGTAAGCCAGAGTATATGGTTAAATGGTAGTCTCCTTAACCTCCGAAAGTGTGAATTACAAATGACCTGTTGGAAATACTGACTCAGAAATGATGAGCCAGCAACGATCAAACGCCTTCTCTCATCTCCCCCAGCCTCATGCATTCCCTGTCTGTGCCCCTGCCCCCAGTGTGGGGAACAGGTGGTTTGTAGGTGTAGGTTTTCTTCATTTCTGAGGGTTTCCCCTTTCCATTCCATGGAGGGGGAGGGCCATCTCTTGTGGGTGCTTCAATTGCACCAGTTGGCGTCTCGGCCTCCCTTGTCTGTGATCTGATATCCTAGATAGTGCATGAGCAAATGCACCACAGCTCCTGTTTGAAGTGGTGAAGTCACCCCTGGTCAGCAGTTGGACACCCTGCAGATCCTCTTCCTGAAATAGCCAATCATGACCTGTTCTTTACTCTTGCTTAATAAAGACCCTAAATTAAACCTGGCATTTTTGGCAAGTGAAGAAACTGCAAAAGTCGTCTTTTCTCCTTCCTGATACCAATCACTTTTTCCTAGCATGAATGTTTTAAGATTGTCAGCCTTCAGAAAGATACCAGAGGTTGACCAATTACATGAGCATAGAATCCAGAAAAATCAATGTTATGATCAGATTTGGAAAATTCATCGCTAAGCCTATGTTTAAATCAAACACATCTGGATTTGGCATATATATGGAAATTTGTGCTGCAAAATAATCACTCCTATATATTTAAGAATATTTTTTTCCCTTTTTTAACATAGAAAATTACGTGATTATGGGATTCTTTATTTTGAAAACTGAAAGCAAGAGAGAAAAACATAAACATTTGTAATCTCACTACTCAGGGATTTCCACTATTAAAATTTGGGTGATAACAAATTACTTAATAGCCTTGTGTTTCACTCGCTCATTTCTGCTTTTTTTTCCACTTGATATCATAATATGAATATTTTTCCTTATCATGAAAAAATTTTGTTAACATTCTTAATAGATGTGTAAGATTCCATATAACTTTACGAATATTTGGAAGGTTTTTGGTTGGATTTTTTTCAATGACATACCTTTAACAAAAATCTCATGCAGAAAAAAAATAAATAAAATCTCATGCAGGTAAATTTATATCTTTAAATACTTCCCTGAACATAGAGAAGCCAAAGCACAAGAAAGAATACAAGACACTAAAGAACTGAACAGAAGATTCCAAAAGGCAGCACAGAATGTCAAAGCAAAATACTACAATGAAATGTGCGAGGAGCTAG